AGATGAACCCCAGCTAGGCCAATATTCAAATGTTTCAGATGTCTCGGGTTCAGTTTCTCACAGCGATGGCCTTTGCATCAACGGGAGCACTTCAATTAACTGAAATGAGAAGGCGAATGAAAAGAGCTGTTTGCACCCGGAGATCCCCTGCAGGAGGAGGCAGCAGAGCTTGCAAAGCCACATCGAATAGAAATTGTATCCACCAGAGGTCTGAGCTCCTGGGGGGTGCGGCTTGTCGCATTACACGATGGGACTCCCTCACAGGTTCAATTAAGGGAATCATCTGGGCTGAAATGCAAACCTCCAAATCGAGAACCCAGTGGGGTAGAAAGGGCGGAAACAGGGGGGACAGATCATTGCCACCCTTTGTTGTATCACTGTAATTATTATTAATAATATAAAACTAACCCCACATGAACCTGGGATGGTATTAAAACCCAATGTCCCAATGATATAGAAAACTAGATCAAAACACAAGGAGTTACTGGTAGAGATACAAAGAGTAGAGAGGATGCAAGTAGAGATGCATCCTCCTCTATGCTTCAGTGAGTTCAGGTTCACTGTCTAGCTGTCCAGTCTGTATGTCAATGTGTTTATTCATTCATTATCACTCTCAACATGTTTTTTTCAGTTGCACAAGGCAGCTGTTTTAAACAAATAAAGCTCCAGAACCGCACTGCTCACTACCTGCTCATCATCAAAGGGCAGGCAGACAAAAAGAGGGACATGCTGCAGAACGTAGTGAAGCATTACGCTACAATTGTAAGATACTGATCCAAGAGTTTGGTAGAGACCAGAATCAGAGCCACAAGAGAAAACGGCTGCCAAACCCAAGTCTCCAAATGCTGCTTCATTAATACACAACTACTTTCTAACAAGCTCCAACTTAAAAAGTGGTTAGATAGCATCATCGCTGTGTTTACAACTTGTTTCCAATAACAAAAAGAGGCAGAAAAGAGGGGGTCACAATCCTCCCACACTCCTCAGTCAGCAAACAGAAAATGCTGGGTATAAGGAATGAAACTTACCTGCTCATATCTTCAATTTTAAGGTAGGGAGTCCTCAGAGCTGCAGCTGTATTCAAGAAGAAAAAAAAAGAAGGAATAGAAAATCAGTTAAATTAGCCTCATGAATAAAAACACAGAGATACAATTTTGTTTGGAAATTGAGAATTAGGAAACCTCACATACAAAAACTTACCCTTGACAACATGAGCATTTTGTTTGGTGTATGTTTTCTGTAGAAGACATTTTTGAATAAGAATTATTAATCTAAAAAGAGGCAATTTCATAATTTGTTCCATTTGTGCTGAAGCTTATTTGTTATTTGTTGGTGTAAAGTTGCAACATTTTGGCTGAAGAGTTCAGACATCTTACCTCTGGCCTCTTAGGTGCCGCACTGAAGCTCTCTCGGGTCAGCTGTTTCAAATATAACAGCACGTCTGATACAACATTAAGGAACATAACAAGACTTTTGATAACTATAGTGTGACAAGGATCGTGATATTTCTGTGATTTCTACGCAGAGTAACAGTTAGTATCAGGGAAATAAAGCAGCAAAGAACCAAACACAAGCACTCACACAGTGCCATCTTCTGTGAGCAGAGGCTCATTACACTAAAAGATGTGGACACTAGCCAACACAGATAATTATAATGCATTAAATCAGTTCCTCCACTGAAGTCATTCAAAAGGATACCATCCACGTACAAAATCTTCACTCCCCACGATCGGGCATTGGCCAAAACACTGCTGCCTTTCAGTCGTTCCTACATGACAGCAAATCAGAATCAGGATAATAAACCATGTCAGTCTGCAGTATATAACCAGCGCCCACAATCTGAAATAAAGCAAACAGGTCTGCATATAAACCATAATTTTCTTTTTTCTTTAGTGTGTGACCTACATTGTTGCGAATGGCTTTTTCAAGCAGGGCTTTCCCACGGCTGCCACAAACCTGAGGAGAAAAACACAACATCTGATTTATTAAATGTCAAAATACATTTAAGCAGGAGGGTAAATACAGACCAAATATACTTATTCAAAAGAATCAGATTTTTGGTTCTGTAGAAAGTAATATTAAGCTTTCAGTACAACATCCGTGTTAGCTTTTAACGTTGTTCCCACATATGTGTAAAAAGTTCAGTACCGTTGGCCTTGGAGTTCTTGGTCGCTGTTTGCCGTTGCTGGGGACACTCTCTCGTGTCATGATAGGACATGGAGCTTCATCACTCGTATCCTTCGCCCCCGCTTTGGATTCAGTGCACTTGGATTCACTCAGGCCCTCTTGGCTTCCAGTCACAACAAAGCTCACATCTTTGTGTAGGAAACTCTCGACCCCCTTCAGACAAAGAAAAGAGAGAAACATCAGTCATTGGATGACCCTGATAAAGGCCACGAGCCAAAACGCGTACGTCTAATTTGTTTATAAAGTGGATCTTCATTCAACAAGTGTTGCTGGAGCATTTTGACCTCTTCAAGCCTTTCACTCTTCATGTAACCTCAAACCGATTCTGATGAATGATGAATTGGCAGCTGATATTGTGACACAGTTTGTTGTCTTTTTTTTTTTTTTTTAAAGAATCATTTTTGTTATATTTAAGCCTGTGTTAGATCGACGGGACAGTGAGTAATGAGAGGAGAATGGCGAATAACATGTGGGAAATTATCCACATGTCGGATTTGAACCAGGGCACCCCCCTATTAGACTTTGGTGCCTCTGTAACATGGAGCACGCCAACTAACCACTAGGCCACCAACGCCCATCAAATTGTTTTTTTATTATCAGCACATGCAGCAGAGTATCACAGCTGAACAGACAGTGATCTGCACTGAAATTGACAATAATGGAAATATAATACTCTTTAATAGAGTTTTTTTATAAGTAGCCTTCTGGGGGCCTTGGCAAAGTGAAAGTGAAAGTCATTCGATCAAACATACACAAAGTACCATAATAACAGTGCATTACTTTTTGCCAAACAACTGTTTCCATAATTTAGCACAGTAGGTAAGACACAGTTAACAAGAGCAGATCTGCAAACAGTTAAATTCACATCAGTCCCATGTGGCTTTGGTGGAAAAATGTCTTCCAAAATGTTTTTGTTTATCTGTAAACCTGATAATTCCCGTGTTTAACCCTGAACCACACTGCACAGGGTTCACAGGCATAGTGAAGCGCCTTTATCTTCACCACAGCTTACCCCTCCCAGTAGAGATATGGCCTCCACTAGCAGAGCTGTTGCACGTTTCTTCAGATTGTCCATGTAGAAAGTCTTCCCCTCCAGCTTCTTCTGCCCAGGACACAGTGAGCCCAGGAGCCCCTGCTTCTCTGCATACTGCTGATTCTGCATGATCCCAGTACAGGAAGGAGCATATGACTCAGAAGACAGACACCAGGATCCCACTAGAAAAGAGGGAGAGTCATGTTGTTATTAATATGTTATAAGTCTGCTTATTTAACTGAGAAGAAATTTAAGAAAATCTCATATCAAAAGCCAGTTGACAATTACACAAGAACTTCGTTTTGACCAAGGTGTCAGGTTTTTACTTATTCTGAATATTTACCTCCAGCTCGTGTTCAAATACTTGAACACTGGAAAAGTTAAATGCCAAACAGCTTCATTTTAACTGTGATTAAGGTGATTAGCTTCACTTTAACACTTTTTCTGAAAGTAATGCTACACATTAAAGTAGCCGAGCATTGAAAGGAACAAGCACTGCAACATTATTATTAAGAACAAAGTACAACAGCGCAGCGCAACACCCGTTTCACTAGCCTAGCAGCTAGCTCGCAACATGTTAGCTGACCTCGGCTAACACAGCTTTCCTAAAAAAAATATATATAACGCCAAGTTCTAATTAGGTTAAACTTGTTAAACGCATCCACGTATTAAAGATGAAAGAAAAGCTGCCCACTTACGTGTTTTTTACTTTATTGTAAAACTTGGTTTAATAAATCGCTGCACCAAAAAGGTGCTCAAACACCAACCGCCGATTTTTAAAAACACTGGAGAAGACGTGAGGCTGAAGTGACGTCACATCCGGTATGACGCCGCCTTCTCGTGCTGCTGCTCGCTGGATTACAACAACAACACATTACAGATTTCAGCAAAGACAATAATATTTTCTGAAGCAGTAGCGTTAAACGAAACTAATATGGCGGTGAATGTTTGATGCGGAACTTTAAAAGGCACGCCTCCTTTAGTCAACACATTGCTTTTATACGTGTTGGGTTTTATGCAATTTTTGATAATAACCCAAACGCCGCATAAATGTTATATAACCATAGACTGTGAATAATAAAATCTTTTTACAGTCTGTAGTTATAACCGCTTGTTGTTTGTTTTTTAATGGCCTTGTTCCTTGAGATCTGTGTTTTTCAAAGCGGTTACTTCCTTTTCCTGTTTTCGAGAACTCATTGTTAAAATAATAATTGTAGCCCCTTAAGAGAAAAGTTGTTAAATTATTTCATAAATGTAAGCCTTGTAGTTTAGAAAGGGGAAGATATCATATACAGGTGGTTGAATGAGAGGTGGGAACTGCTGCAGTAAAACTAAAAAAAAGTTAAAAGGAGTTGAGTTTACTTCTGATCATGAGCCCCTTTGTGGGTTTGTGCGTCTGCAACTTTGGTAACACTAGCACTTGGCAAAAAAAGGGATAAAATCCTTTGCTGCTGCAAAAATCTTTATCAGATGGAACCATAGACTGTATAAAGTACATAAAATTATTTACAGTAGGTGGAACCTAGTTCAAGTGTTATCCAGCAGGGGGCATTGTCCCCGTGAATACAGTAATCTTAGTGAAGAAAATACATCAGCAGTACAGTGAGTCTATTGTCCCTTTTAAAGTAACCTATAACACATTGGTTTACATTCATTTAGAATATATTTTAGGCTAAGAAATCATCCCTACAGTAATTGGAATTATTTATATTAATACATTCTATGTTTTATGCTGTAATTACAACAACATTGGTGAAGGTATGACAAAGACCACAGGACATTGAAACCAATTATTTATTCAAAACATGCATTTTTGTTTACAAAAATATTTTTTCACAAGAACACTGTCACAGTGCAAATGACTTGCCTCACTTCAATTTCAATTTGAAAATCTGCAAAAATAAATGTAGGGTACTGATGAAAAGGAACTCTTTTAGCAAAGGCTAGATGCACTGGTTAGGTTTTTTTTATGTTAACAACACAACCTTAAGACTTATTGGAGAGAATCATCACAAGATAAACTCAAGAAAAATAAAACCTATGGCAGAAAACTGCAACAGCTCAACAATAAGACACTGACAACAGTCTGAACAAAGAGAGAAGCAATTTAACTTTCCAAAACACTTCGAATGACATTGATTCAAAATAAGAATGAGACCTCTTTTTCTCTCTCGACGCATGAACACTTTAAATGTACCTACCGAAAACATACTGATTATGGCTGTGAAAAAACAATCCAAATCAAGCCTGGTGTAAATAGTAATACTCGTATATTGAACAACAGCTATCTTTCTTAAACATCAACCCTTGTGTAGTTTCAAAAGTGGGATCTTTTGTGTAAAAAAAAAATCTTTTTCAATACTTGTACTGAAAGTGATGCAGAGTCTGTGGAAGCATTTTGACAAAGTTTGTTTTAGTAAGGCATCTCAGGTTTCAGCATAGCAGCATCTGCATATTCACCAAAAATAAATGACAACAGTCTACTTCCTGCAGAGAATGTACGATAAAATAAACTGTTATTTTGGTACTTTCACACACAACAGTGAAATGTTGAACACAGTGGCAAGAAACACTAATCCAGCTTTTTCCTCTGTTTTTGTCGTTTCCCATTCCCTTAACATCAACCCCATTGGTTAGCTTTGAAATTTAGATACACATATTAGTAGCAGAATCTATCTTGTTCTGTCGTTTTAAAGCTTCTTGAATACTTTGCTTTATACATTAAACTGACACTGTAATACAAACGTATCAGTATCATAAGGACATCAACACTTTCAGAGGCTGACAATTACCTTGGACCCAATGTTTTTTTATGTTCTTTTATGCACTGTATAAAACATATTTCAGCACAACGGCAATGCTGACCGCAATCCTAAAAGGCCTAAAAGGGGTTTACCTAATATTATTTCAAGATTGTTGTTAAACCACAAACCAATGAAATGTTTTATCCAACACATTAAGTTGTTGCTTCGTTTTTTTTATTTTGTCAAATAATCAGTCCTAAACAAGAGATATAATCTTTAAAATATTTAACATAAAGTAAATTAGTATGTTTTCCTTGGACAAATAAAAAACTTAAACCATGTATAATCAAAGTTTGGACAATTATATTTATGATTATTTATCAATCAATTATTTCAGCCCTAAATTGAAATGTTAAATCAGACACTTTTGGTTATAAAACTTGCATCAGGAATTTGCTTTTTATACACGTCATCTCTCTGTTTAAAGATCTAGAGCAAAAAAAAATTAGTGTTAAGTGTTCATAGGACAAAACGATCTGCCAGTTGATGCAAGGAAGATTCTGATACTAATATTTACATTTACGAATTTTAATGGCATGAAAAGTAGGGATGTCCGCGATTAGCCAACAAAAAGATTAAACATAGTCATCCTCACTAGTAGGCACCAGACTTACTAGTGAGTAAACAAATGATTGACCTTTTGATCAAGAAAATGGAGACAAAGTTGTATGTAAGCTTCATCAGGTTAAATGGGCATATAACCACTCATACAGAGCAATAAGTAACCAGCACAGGCATGTGGACACAAACCTGAAAAGCGGATCAAAGGCTGGAAGTGCTAGCACTGCTAACGTTAGCCACATTCTGCAAACCCATTTGACAGTGTTTACCTGTAGACTTCATGTTGAGCTTTGTTAAAGAGGTTGTGCTCAATGTTGGTTGTTCTCTGAGTTTTTCTTAACTTCAGACTAATCCAGAATAGTCTGAATTTAAAGATATGTTGACTCGACAGGGAAATAGTGTTTGGAAACATTCCTAATGAAAACTATTGACTGGGAGATGTGTCCATGTGTTTGTAGTATGGACACACAACACAAGCATAGATATTGTGTCAGTGTGAGAAGGATTTTCATTATTAAACATCTACAACATCAAAAGTCAAAGTCTGTATCTTAGATCCACTCTGAACCCTTTATGACTCCATATTTGCTGCTGCTGCTTGTGCTGCTGCCTCGGTCTCCGTCTGTCTTGCTCGCGGTGTGTTTGGAAGCCTGTCTGTGTTTGCGTTCACGCTGAGGCTTGCTGTGGCTATTACTGTGGATCTGTGGCTGGCTGTAGGCCTGACTGTCAGCCTGCAGCCTGCTCTGAGGCTGACAAATGTCCTTATGAACACCTCGGGGGGAATCTCCCATCCCATGTGCGGACAGGTTCTCATCATTATTGGTGTACTGCTGGCGCTCCTCCTGGGCGATGTTCACGTGGTTCTGCCTGCATGCCATCTTGGCGTTACTGAGATCGGTGATGGGAAGTGGCTGTTCGTGGTGTCCTGTAGATACCAGAGGAGGCTTGATGGCGATGTTGTAGCCAGGTGGCGCTGATGGTGCGTTCCATGAAAAAGGGTAGCTGCTGTAATCCTCTCCACTCAATCCAGCATTGTTAGAGCCTCGTGTCCGCGTCTGAGCCCGTACAGCTCGTCATCGGAGAGCTCAGACCTGTGGTAGCGCATAATGTCAAAGATGGTACCTACTCCCAGGTGTAGCATCTCCCATATGTTGAGAGCCAGGCATAGCAGGGAGACGGTGTACATGATGAGGAGGAAAATGGTTTTCTCAGTTGGTCGTGACACAAAGCAGTCAACGCTGTGAGGACAGGGCAGGTCTGAGCACACGTAGGAGGCGGGAACAGCGAAACCATACAGAGCGTACTGTCCACACAGGAAGGCCACCTCCAGCAGGGAGCGGGCCAGGAGCTGAAGCACATAAATACGCATCAGTCCATCTGCTTTGATACGCTGCCGCCCGTCATGGCGTACTTTACCCTTCGCCTGTCCATCACCACTGTTTTCTTTTGGTGCTCCACCGGCATCGCTCTCCACCTCTGCCATCTCATAGATCATCGGGTCCTCCTCTTGGTCATCCTCTGCCTCTTCAATGCCCCTGTGCTGCTTCCTGCCTGACATATAGTGCTTCTTGGATTTCCTCCGTGAATATCCACCAACTCCACCTCCCCCAAAGCCCGCCTGCTCCTCTGCGCGAGTGATTTTGTTGACGGCGTAGCCCAGGTACATGAGTGAGGGTGTGGCCACCAGTATGATCTGGAAAACCCAGAAGCGGACGTGCGAGAGGGGAGCGAAGGCGTCATAGCAGACGTTCTCACAGCCCGGCTGGCCCGAGTTGCAGACAAACTTGCTCTGCTCATCGTAGTAGATGGACTCGCCTCCCACGGCTGTCAGCACGATGCGGAACACAATGAGTACCGTGAGCCAGATCTTGCCCACGAATGTGGAGTGGTTGTGGATTTCTTCCAGCAGGCGAGTCAGGAAACTCCAACTCATGGTAGTGGCAGGGAGACAGCAGTGAGAGGCAACTCACACCTCCTGTTACTACCCTGTGGAGAGAGCAGAAATGATTCAACTGTCTACCAAGTATAATAAATGGATTATTTATCAACAGGGAAAATATTTGCCTGGATTTTAGCAAAGGAAACCACTTCATGGCCACTCCTTCCTTCCTAACCATGTGTGACATGGGCAGAACAAAACTAAACAGAGTATTTATTCACCTGACTTTTTGTGTTTGTCTGTTAATTTGTCTCTTACCACACAGGACAAATAGAAATGTTTTAAATCTACAAATAAAGGTACCCCACGCTCTTCTGCAAGTATTCAGCACTTTGTCTTTCCTACAGTATACACGGTTATCAAATAGTGTATTTCTCCACAATAACAACACGTTTATTCTCCATTCTTTTAATAGCTGTGCCCTACGGCTCATGTATAAACACACCGTTGGCAATAGTACACAAAGGGAAGAGTAATGACAACAAAGGAATGTCTAACCATAATTGCTATTGTAAACTGAATGTCCCCAGTCAGGCTTTTTACATGAGGTCATTACTAAGTTTTACCATCCAGATGTTGCATGAACTAAACATTTTCTCAGTTGGTTTAAAGAGAACTCTTTTTGTACAGGGGAACGACTACTAAAACAATAAAACCCTAAAGAGGAATTAAGCAAGTAGGGCTGGGCAATGACCAAAAATGTAATCGCGATAAAATGTTCCATATAAGTTGATATCAATATTTTATCACGATAAATATCAAATCCTTATTTTTTTCATATTGAAAGGCTGATTTTTGCCCCTCAGTGAAAGTTGAAGAAATCAGATGGTTAATTGTGGCTAAACCATTTTTTATTCTCAGAACATGACAAAGTATATTTAAACAGAGGACATTTCACAAACGGTTCTGATAAAACGCTGATATGAGAGTTTGCTGCTGGGGAGTAACACAGTTTTGATTCTCAAAACTCGTAATCTTGTGCGGTCAAACACAACTTAAGAGTAAACAAACATGATAGTGAAGCTAAATGTGGCTAGCTGTTAGCTGGTACATCCATTATGGTAGCAATCTCGGTCCAACTCTTTTCCTTGTCAGTTCGATTGTGGTATGTTTTACAGGACTTGTTGTTTAAACACGTGTTGTTGCCACAAATCTATAAGTTGGTCCATTTATGACCTCCATCTAACTTAAATGCTTTCATAGCCATGGATATGTTAGTTGTGCTTCCGGTTTAGTCATCTTGCTTCCTGATTGGCTATTGTTGGGTTCCGTGACAATGCACAGATTCCGTGCTCGGCCGTCCTCTGTGTTCTCTCCACACATAACAGGATTTCTGATCATAAATATTTATGATTCCAAATCGGGGGAGCCAGATCGCCTTCCAAATAGATCAGGGATGGTAAAATCCCTTTTAACCCACATCAAACCACAGGAGAATCTTGCAAAATAATCTTTGGAACCATCAGATAATCGGACATGGTCTGAAGGCGGTGATCGGACACGAAATCGGCCAGATTATCTTGTAGTATTAAACCCTCTTAATGGGAAGAGCAACCGCTCTTAAAAGAGAAAGAGAAAGCACACTAACACACACAACCCTGCTTAAGTCATTGTGAGCTAATGTATCTATACTTTGAGTTTTGGTGGTTATTCTTGATGCTCTGTTTTTACAAATGTGCACCTTGTTTTACCCGCTCCTCTCATTTCCTTGATTCCACAGATGTCGATGTAACTAAAGTAAAGAAAGTTACCAAAGAAAATGACTTAATATTTCCTTGTATGCGAGTCCCTCACACACTTATCAGCCTCTTGTCTTTCAACTCTTTGCATTTGCTGCCTTCGCTGTAAAATTTGAAAAAAAAACTGCTTTTATTCAGCTTTAACAAGTCCACTCTTGTCTTTAGCTCCTTAGTGATCATTGGCAATAGCTGGTATTATTGCTATGAATTAAACTGGTGAAAGCAACAACCAGAGCAGCCTGAAAAAAAGGTAAACAGACACTTGATGTTTGCTTTGTATAATAAAAGGTTTAAATAACAAAATGAGTGATCCAGCTTTATCACAAGCAGTCATGTTTTCTTTGAATTTGAAGTTAGAAACCATGAAACACTAATCCAAGGTCACTAACGGGTCAATCAGTGAAGGTTGATAGTGTGATTTCACCTGGTCTGCTGATACAAACACCAACACATTCCTTCTACTTTGAATAACTGTGAATTTTTTAGCAGTGGACAAAAGTCTGCATGTTCTGTACTTTCATTAACAATGTTGAGTTTCTCTGAGTATGTCATTTTATGTATCTTAAGGGCTTGAACCATCAGACTGCTTCCTTGACTTCTTGGCTGCTTAAACAAAGAAATGGTTGATTAAGTGACAGGTTGCATTGTTTCTTTTGCATAGAGCTCAATAATTTCTGCATATTCTGACAGGTATCTGGCTTCCCAGAGAAAGATTTTAGTTACCTTGGTTAAAGCTGAAGGCTGAGGCGAGAGAGGAAATGTTGTGAGGAGAGAGTGGGCGGGAGATGACATGAAGCATAGGGCTGAGATATTGAAATTTTATGGAACGTTTGTTATATTTCTATTGAGAAAACTTATATTGAGATAATTATCATTATCGTATTTATTTATAAAAAACCTCAGTATCAGTGGACCACATGGTCTGAGGCAGTTGATACGTCAAACTCTCTTCTGTTCTACATTAAACCATTCCTGGAGGCAAAGCCAAAAAAAAAAAACTGTCTGTCTATTCAAGATAAATGCATGGAATAATATCACGCTGTAGGATTGAAATATGAGTAGAAAATCCATCTTCTTTCTCTTGTAAACTAAACCAGCTCGTGCTGTACCTAACCTTGAAAAACTCTGCTTAACCTGCAGACATCCATCTGCCAAAACCTTAAGCTGCAGACATCTCTGAGAGTCACTCATGTAAGAGATAATCTAAGAGGTTGAGACTTCTGTGGCGTAGTCTGTGTCTGCATGTGTATGTGTGTGTTTCTGTGTGTAAGGGTGTGTATGTGTACGAGAGTTCAAAGGGTTTTTTAGGGATAGTGTGTATTCCAGTAGTCGAGGCACAGGCTCAGTTCCTTGTAATAACATGCACTTGACATTCACCACCCATCCAGAATAAAGAGGCCGAGGCAAACGAGGCCAGGTGATAAAAGAGCAGCCTTTAGGTTGTTATGGGACTGTCACTCTGTGAAGTCAATTAATGTGATGTTTAGAGCTTGAATCCAAAAACATTGTCTTCAATAAGCTTTACCTTTTGTGTACCATCTTAGTGTGACTACGCTAATTGGCAAAAATACAGTAAGCATCTCCGGCTCAGTTTCAAGAGGTTTACTGTTATTTCTTTCAGACTGATGACTCAATGGGCAGGAAAGTAGTCAGAAACATTTTCATAGTTTGATATTTTCAAAAAACCATTTGGAGGAAAAAAAAAAACATGCCCTTAATCCACAAATCTGTAAACTAACAATTACTAGAGTAATCAAAACAATATTATATAAGTATTCTTTATTCAAAGTTGCTGCCAACATAGCTTAGTAGTAGCTTTGCTGCTGCAATTGTAAACCAATAGCTCTGGTGTTCTACCGACCATTAGCGGTGCAAGTCACAGAATTTTACACTCAAGTTACTTAGCAAACGCTAACTGAGCAATTAGGCTGAGTTAGCACCAATTGCACCTTGGTGGTTGTAGTAAATTACTTTCTAATGCAGTCCTTAACATTTTGGACTGACTATTCAAACAGAGGAGTCATGCTGATCCAGGCATAGAAAGTGCTCCATCGGTTAGCCGTGTGGAAAATGTATAGGGATTTTCTTTTCCCCAACCAGGAACACCCAAATAGCTTATTCAACTTAGCAACTCGATTCATTCTGTCATGATATTGCTTTCTTTGATATTTGCAGCGTTGGAAAAAAAAAATCAAATGCTCAAAACCAGTGATTTTCAAATTTCTTTAAGATGCCTGTATTCTTCTTATCATGGAAAAACGTGCAAATGCAATTTGATAGACAAGAAAATATTATTTGTCATGCCACTCAATGTGTTCCTTACTGGCACTTTGTGTATAACAGACTGACACAGCTTCGCATTGAGTCTATCTGATATTTTATAATTTAATAAGTATCTGCTATGAAGCCAGGTCCAGCTGCTGCAACATGGTTTCTCATGTCTGACTCTGAAAATTAAAAAAAAAAAAAAAAAGTCTCATTAACAGTCACATGCTCTCTAAAACTGCACATCTGGCTGTGTTGTGTAATGAGCTTATTTTGAGGCCCAGTAGCAGAGCAATCACCACCCAAACACAAGTCTTGTGGACGGCAAGAAACTGGGAACAAACCTTCACATTGCTCATTTCAGCTCAGCATACGGCTCGCTCTTTCCTATTCTGTAGCATTTTACTCACCAGCAGAAGAAGTCTGAGGTTTGTTTCAGAAGCAATGCAGGGGGAATTTGAACCCAACATTACTGTATGTATTTATATGAAAAAAACTACAGTATTAAAGAGGACATATTAAAGCCCTTTTCCACTTTTAAAAACAGTTCCCTGTGGTCTAAATGAAACATCTGTGCTGTGCTTTGGTCAAAATATAACATGAATCAAGTACCAGAGTAGGTTTGTGACCCTGTATAAACCAGCTTCCCAGAACGCTGCGTTTTGGTGTGTGTGTCTCTTTAAATACAATGAACCCCCCCCCCCCGAGTTTTTCCCGGTAGACATCACTCCTCTGTAGCGAGAACAAAAATGGAGGACCTGTGCAAAAGTTTTGTTCTAGGCTGGGGGTGGAGTCCAAGGGTTTAGATACCAGAGGAGGGGAGGGGATTTTTTTTTTTTTACCAGAATCCCACTTGTGATGTCACAAGGAAAGCAAATTTGAAATGGAGCACTTTTCTCTGTGTTGTCAGACCACAAACAAAGCACTGGATGGATTTATTTCACAGTTTGTGGATATGTAAACACTCAGGTTACCCAAATATATGTCTAAAAACACTGTAAAAGTAATGTTTCATGTCCCCTTTAAAGGTCCCATATTATGCTTTTTCTGGTTTTATATGCTCTTTAGTGTGTTTTCCATGTGTCCTGTGCATGTTTAGGCACATCTATGAGCAAAAATTCAAAGTCCGCAGAAACGTGGCTTCTTCTACCTCCTCCTGTTAGCTGTAGCATTAGCGGCACGTAACACTCGGTTCTAGCCCCCCTCGATAAAAATGTGTCAGTCCGGCGTCATTGTCAGTGTGAGATCACTGATCTAAGCCCATTGGCTCGTTGTGGCAAGCCCAGCAACTCGTTGAAATTTCCGAGATGCGTGCTGAGCAACTGACCAATAACGACAGAGCGGATCGGCAGACCAATCAGAGCAGACTTGGCCCACGTGGGGTCTAACAGTGTGGGCTCAACAGAGCGTCGCTAACGGACTCAGAGCGGCGAGGAAGCAAGGAGGAGCAGTACATGAAAACAGACACTTTTTTCGAACTTTAGCTATTGTGAACGTACAGAAGTAGGTACATAGATTAAATATATGAACCCCAAAAAGGGCATAATATGGGCTCTTTAAGTAAATATGATTTTCAATAAAAACACCTACCTCTCCTAAGAATGAACTGCAACAAGTTGCAAGTAGTGCCACATCAACTGCCTGAAGGTGATGCAGTGCTTTCTACCCAGATGTCTCCCAGCCCCAGACCAGCAGCCTCCAGTTCCCCACAGTGCTAGTAAAAGAACCATTTGACTGTAACTTAAAGGAGCATGCCTATCTAAATAGGTTTCACACTGTGAAGCTTTGTGGTTTTCTTTACAGCAGTTAAAGTGATGCTAAACCCCAAATCTATCTTATGAGGAAGGAACACTCACTGGCTGTTAACTTAAAAGACCGCTGTAAAAAGTTTGTAGTTTGCTGACACTGTACTTCCTGTTTGGCATGGGGTGGCTACTTTTTTTTAATAATAATTAAAAACATGCTACACTTCAACTCTGAAGGTAAACATGGTCAGTATCTTGAATGCAAAGAATGGTAAAGATGGCTTTACTTGCATAGGAAGAACTTACAACACCTTCTTGTGTCGTGAGATGAATTTGTGTTTTCTGCATTTCCGACGAACAAACAAATCAAAAGGCAGGAATGTCAGGCCAACCAATGAGAATGTCTCTCCACTGAATCAAAAATAAAGAGCAATGACAAAACAACAACAAATAACTCTGCCCACATTACAATACTCCTCAGTAAACCTACGTCAGTTATTATCTGTCAGGGAGTGCTGCAAGGAGAGACTGCAAGTGTTTTCATTACCCGAACTTAATGTCCAGAAAATCCCATCACTGTTCATCCTGACATGGAGCCAATACGTTCCAGCTAAACACATCAAACAGAAGATGCAGTGCAGTACAACCCAATGTCAACATGACAAAAGCCTTTAGCATGCAGCTAATTTGTTGTGCCAAAGGAGCCACTGTAAGCATGCCATGCTTTCATATGCAATCTATCATCCAGCAAGGAAGAGATGGAAACTACCCGGTATTACTTTGTGAACTGAACGATAGGTCTCTCATGCAGGAGCTTTTACATTTTTTTGTTTTTTTTTGCTCTTTTTATTTGTCAGGTCATTTGTTTAAGATAAAGAGTTTCTCCTGCCAGCCCCCGAGTATTGTTTGCGAGGGAGCTGATGCGAGAACACAGGCGGATATTATCCAGAGGTGATGTTTATATCCTGTGATGATCATATCTGAGTTTAGTAGAGAGGCCAAAAACTCTGCAACAACTCAAATCTTCGTTCGTGTATATATTTCATATCTAGTCAAAAATTTGAGATGTAGCGATTGGGAAAATCCGAGCCGATACCGATAGCGTTTGAAATAACAATTAAGCCGATTGCCCATTCTTGTTTTATTATTTCTATTGATGCAAGGCTCCCACAATGCCAGCATTTTCTCTCATGTTTGACAACTGGAACTTCATCTGCCAAATAACAACCTCTTCTCTGAAACAGTAGTTAGGTGTACTAGATGCAAGCATTAACTTGATTTTGCGACTGACATCGGCTCATGCCACATTATTTTCCGATGTCTGTCAAAAATGGTTAGTATCGGCGGATATCGATGTTAAACCAATGCATCGGTGCATCCCTATCAAAAATATGTCATTACCATTAATATAAGTCACGTCCACCTGACAAGCCAGATACAGTTAACAACTTTTTTCAAGATATTAGAAGCAAAAAAACTGAATAGCTTGTAATGGGTAAAAATAGCTGCCAGATTTTAGTCTAATTTCCCATATCATCTCGTATGACATTATTATTAAGGCTAATTATGAGACAATGTGATGTTTCATAATCAATTGCCCATTAAACTCAGGTCAGGTTACTTCTTTACTTGTAAAGAACCTCATCTGAAGATTTGATATAATTTGATCATAATCCCTGTCATGTCCACATGAGATAAAAGTGTCGTCTTTGCGTGGGCATTTACTTTTCTGTCTCTCTTCATCAGGCTACACGGATGAGTGGGACTAGTTAAATACTGTGCACATGCCACAAGTTTGAATATTAACATTACACAGAGAGCAGTAGTAGTTTTGAAACATGATATACTGTGTGTGTGTGTGTGTGTGTGTTTATACATTATCGAAATTATTGTCATTAACACAACAGACACACTCACTGCTCTCTGTCAATTCAGTGTCAGCTCCGTCGTTTCATGTACTGACCTCAAAGAGTCACAACCACACTGCAATGTGCAGCTGTTCATTTGTGAGTAAATATTAGCTGCCAGTAAAACTTGAAAGCCATACTCTTGATTTAGTTTTAGTCATTATGCTGCTTCATCAGATTCATGTGAAGGCTTAGGGCATGAGTCCATACAAGTATATGAATAAAGGTAGCCTGAGGAATGTATGCAAATGCAGTAACTTTACTTTCAAACTACTACAACTACTGAAACGGATAAGAAAAATAAACATTAATAATATATTAGCAATATTAGTGTCATTTCAGCATAGGCTATTTTTCATGTTACGGTAATCATAATTTTACATATTTGTTCAGGTTAAAGTGAATCACCTCTTTTTGTTTTGTCCTTCAAATCCTCGTAGTTTCCCCGGCCAGCAACAAAACAAGAGTTTTCAAACCCCATGTGCCTGCAAACAGAGAACACAGGTAGCAACATTAAAGTATGTCAGATCAAATCAGTTTAGACACTCCTATCTTTGACAGAAGAAAAAAGTTAATTCACCATATATGGTGATTTCTAAAAAGCATATTTATGTAAATGTCACAATTTTTTCCACTCAAAAAGCCCTGATGTATTTTCATTGGGGAAAAAAATGTATATCACATTTTAAATAGCCGAAGTTTTAAATTAAAAACTCACTCACTTTCTGAAAGAGGCTACCACTGGGTGGAAAATGCTGTGATTGCAAAGGCAACACAATTTCAAAGACGACAAAATAGCATTTAACACCACAGATCTCTCTGTAAAAAAAAAAAAAACACATTTAAATGTAACACTGAAATTGTTTAGCCCACTGTGTAATTAGACCTGAACAAGGGCATTTATCTAAGGACTCACTGAATACATGCAGTAAGATATAAAGATGGATAAGTAAACTAAAGGTCTCTTTGTTACTTTTTTTATTTTCCTAATTTGAACAGTTACTGATAATCCTAATTTATCAAGGGGACTGAAAATTGAGTACCAGCCATTTTTTAAATCAAAAATTAAGATTATTTAGGCGCTGTCAGTATTTAAAAATACCAGTATGTGTGTCTTTCATTTATTTTATAATGCAGAAAGACGTGCAATGTCTCTGTGCTGGTTGTTGGACAGATATAACTATGTTTGGGCTCCTGATATAAATATGTTTTCACATTTTTGTTTCCTTCTGAATCGACTTCAAGTGTTTCAGATGACAGCAGAGTTGTGCTAACGTTGGAATAACTGACATTGTGTTAAGAAAAAAAAAGTTTGCAAGATGGATTTTTTTCTTCTCTTTTATCACTTTGGAGAATGTAAAGTATGCTAGTCTACTTATAGTATATTGACCCTTAATCAAGTCCTTTAAAATATAACTGAGTTCATCTGATGTTGCTAGCAAAAACATTATGTTGTTGGTAATGAAACTAGTTTACACTGAATCAGCTGCATGCAAGATAATTAAGTCAAAAATAATCCCAAAGGGAAGAGACAGGCGAACCTCATTGTATTTACGGTTTTTTTAAAATATTTTTCTTCATAACCTTCAACTGACTAGTCACCAAATACACTTTCTTTATTAACAGGAGCTTGACATTGATTTGCCTTACCTCATGTGCGAACTCCCCACAGCATCCTCACTTCATCAGACTCACATTTGGCGCCGGTCCGCTCCGTCAAACAAAGCTGGATACACGTTAAGGCTTCACAAGTACACCGGCAAGAAGGTGAACTACTCTTCAGGGAATGCAAAATCACCATCGCCGAATACCAGCAAAAAATGTTATGTTGACGCCCACACTGTAAAATTTGGTCATAGTTTCAGCTAAAGGGAAGTTTCTGCTAATTTGGGTAATGTATTGTCTTTTATCAAGGAGACTGGACTGAGGAGAGCTTGATTGTGTCAGTTCAGAAACACATAGGCGGCTGGTTTAAGGCAAGGAGGGGCTTCTGTTCTGTAAGTGAGAGAGAGAGAGAGAGAGAGAGCAAGTCAGAAAGTCAAGCATCATTATGCATTCATCCTTTAATGCACCCTTTTGACATTTTATAAAAGGCAAAGAAAAAAAACGTGTAATCATTTGATCTAATGGATAGCCAATAATGGGGACAGTAGCCTATGTTTTTTAATTATGAAAGCAAATATATGGTGAAATACAGGAAAACTTTAATCCCAAATAAATGGCATTGCTGTATCACTTCACCTTGTCTCCATGTAGCAGCCTACCTTTTGTAAGTGAATGCCACAACGTTTTAAATGTTTTCAAAATACCTGTTCTTCTTTTACAAGCCACATAGCCTATTTATGAAGGTAATTATTTCCTTCAGTCTTGTTTGTCATCAGGGACAGATGATCACCAAGTGACAAATGAGGAAATCAAGTCCCCAAGATAGGTTTACAGGTTCTGTTTATTCAACAATGAACGGGTGGTTTAGCATTCTGGTGCATTTAGTGAAGCAGAGCAATACAAGAATGTCTTTGAAACAATACTCTTACACCCTTCTGTAATGAATGCTCAGGTCTGTTGCAAAGTTTCCCCCAGTTTCTTCCAGGTCTGTTAAGCACAAACGACAGAACAAGTTGGTCATGAGTCAGGGCTTCATAAGAAGGGCAAAGACCAGAGTTGTAAGACAACACATATATTTCCCTCTCTGTTGTCTTAAGACAGAGCCTGAGACTGAACAGACGCCATCAATTCGTTTCATCTTCTTCCATCAGGCTTTGGATACACATCATCATTCTGCTATCAAGTCTTTAACAAAGGGGCACTCTATGAATATTAAAACATAAAGGTCAGTTTACTTGTCATGGAGAACAGAGCTTAGCCTGCAAAAACAGCTGTATAATATCATCTGCGGTTCTGCTCGGAGCTCAAAGTCCTCGAAAATAAACCTGCATATGATCAGCCTGTGTACAAACGGCAGATGTGAAGTTTCACGATGAGGGCAGTTATCAGGCGACAGGTTTTCTCTTAAAGATGATCTAGTTGAATTAAGGGAATTCCTGTGTTTCTATTGACAATGTTGTGCTTGGACTCGTTCTGCATTTTTTAACTTCCAATGTAACCACATGTGTGGGTGTTGTGTTGTGTGATAAGACTGTGCTTGTGATCTGGATAAGAATGTGCTTGTGATCACATTCGACATACATATTACTGAATAGCTTACCAGTTTTATAACTACCAATCAATCCATTTTCATTTGGACAGCACCAATTCATTACAAATGTTATCTTAAGACACTTATCTACAGAGACCCAACCATAGACTTACCCAACATAAATCCACCTCGAGCACAGCACTTGTCAACAGTTAACAAAGTAACAGTGGCAAGGAAAAAGTTTCTTTTAACAGGCAGAAACCACGAGCAGAACCAGACTCGTGTTGAACAGCCATTTGCTTCAACTGTGTTGGGATTGAAAAGTGGGATAGAGGGGGGATGGAGAAACAAACAAGGACAATGAATGAAACAGATTTATGGCTACAATGGCGTCCTATCACAGCTGCTATGCTTTAGCAGATAAGTACGCAAAAGGTTCCCACAATGCAGCAAGGCATGTATTATATTAATATCTATGTATTTCATATGATATTAAACGTCCTCATGGACCTGCTGATACAATTCAAATATTGCTCCTGCTGATGACCTACAAGTGTTGGAAACTTAGCTTTATCCCCATCGTTTATCTCACGGACAAAGACAAACCCAAGCCCACACATCTTTCTCCTTTCCATCTCCATGTGTTGCTTACTGACTGTTTCTCTCTAGGAGGGTGACTGCTCAAATCTATTTGCTTGACTTTCAGTTGGCATTGTATTCTTAAACTATCAGCGGAAGAATCAAACACAGGAGGGAAAACACTTTCAACCCTAATCGGCCTGATAGTGTTTTGGCATAGGAAGTCCACATCTTAATTCAGAGCGACCTCCTGCAAGGCTGTAGTCCCTTAACTGCGTTATCTTTTACCTCAAAGGGAGTAATTGAATGGAGAAAAATCAATGAGGGTATCCATAAAAGCAATCATCATAGAGCCCTGCCAATTTAAAGCATTTTAACAGTTGAGTGTCTTCTGTTATTGGTAAAGAGAAGGGCTGTATCAACTGGAATGTGGATATTGACAGGGCCGTACAACAGAAGGCGGCGAGGCTGTCATCGACAAGTTTGAGATCCTCAAATGCGATTTGTCATCATTCTCAGCAGATGGACGTTAATTGGATTTTCTGTCCATTCACTTACACTGGAGGTCATTGAAGATTGGTTTGGACATAAATTTATCTTTTGCAATTAATCATAATAGACATAGCATGTACTCTTTCCCTAACAATGTCAGTGTCAATATGACCTTAATTGAAGGATTGATTCTGTTGGATTATTTGAGCTGAGAGTTGCAAAACATCTAAGCACACGAGAGGTTTCCAGAGAGAAATGTTGAAGTCAAACTGAAAGGCGAAGGTAATAGAAATGCAAAGTAAATGTGGGCTGCAAAGTGTGACTGCGGTCAGCTCTTTGCTGGTGACATTGTCGTAAAGGGTCCTGAACTGACAACTGGGAATATAATGGCAGACACAACAATGACACAAAATCACCCAGAGGATAAAGTGACAGAACAAATCAGAGAGACCAAATCAGATGAGGAGAGAGACCAATGATGGAGAGTTTGGCTGGAAAGATAGACACATGAAATGACTTTATCTCATCTGACAGAAGTCAAAGTAGAAATTATTCAGATCAGTAAAGGTGAAGAGATTAATTAGGGGTTAAATAAAAAAAATTATAAAAGGAAAAATGAGGATACAATGATTAGTCCCTTACACACAAGTAAGAGAGCTGAATCAACAAATGACTTGGCTGACTTCAGCAGCATCTCACTCAGGGGATTTGTAACACAGAGAATGAACAAACACAACATGTCATCTTCAGCATCGCAGCCTCAAGCCTTTGCTGTCATATTCTCTGAGAGATGTTTCATGAAGTCACATCAGTTGTTGTTTATGCCAAGGAAAGACATGTCTGTTGCTGTCATGTGTTTTTTTCATTAATCAAGTGCAACACAAGTCCCCTGTTAGTCTGAATGCTTAGTATATGAAGAACCAACAAATGTCTCTGACTGCCAGGGGAACTCCGAAGCAGTTTTCAAAAAAATACACAAGCTTGACGCCATCTTCTGGTCAAGAGTTGTAAACAAAAGTAAAAATATGCAATAAATTGGTGGCTCCCAAGACTTTGTCTTGTGAACTCTTAAAACACAAAGCTTGTACTGTACACATCCAGTTGTCTATTGGTGTGGAGCAGTTTATTTATTTGTTTTGTTTTTTAATCTTGGGAACTGAAAGTATTCAGTTTAAGTAATGCATAAGATTTTTCCAAAGGCTGATTTTAATCATCAGTATTAATCATGCATTATTAGTAATTTCATAAATACACTGGGCATCAACATTTGAAAACAGTTCAATTTGTGTTGGATTTATTTATTTTAATATAAATTTGTGGTACACATTGAGACTGAACAAATGTATGTTGACATAAAAACCAAATGTTATCTTGGCTTTAACAAAATCCCCTTGGATTGGATGTTGAACCACCAAAGTTGGGTTGAAATCAACCACCTAACATTGGGTTGACATTAACCACCAACATTGGACAAATCTGGAATCATAATCACCTTAAAGTTAGAACCAGATATAGGTTTAATCTCAACCTCAAACCTGATACTAGGTCGATGTTAAAACAATATATTGAGTTGACATCAACCACCAACACTGGACAGGAATCTAATCTTTGTTGGAAATAATATTGTCAGGGTGATGTCAGTACTGTTTTGGGTTGATCTCAACCAAAACGTTGGGTTGACTTGAACACCCAACTTTAAGTTGATCTCAAAACAAAGATCTTGGATGGAAAGCACTATCAGTTTAACATCAGAACCAGATGTTGGGTAACATCAAAACCTGACAATTTATTATTGTAAAAAAACTGGCATTGGGCTAACACCAAAATGTAATGATGGGTCTAGATCAAAACCCTACTTTGGGCTGTTCACCAAACCTGTTTTTTACTCCAAAATTGAATGTTGGGATGATGTCAAAATCAGACATTTGCTTAAGGTCAATACCCAATGTTGGTGGTTTAATTCAAAACCAGACATTCAGGTTGACTTTAACTACCAAAAATGCACAATTGGAGCAATGGATAATAGATAAACCTTTGTTCTAATATCTCTTTAACTATAAACTTGAATTAATCTTTTTTCAAGTATCTTCGGAAATGCACAAAGTTTGTTTAAGTTTACGAATAACTAATGAATTATTTAATATAAAAGAATAATACAATAAAAAACATGCAGTATTGGATTTGATCTGAGTAAAGATTTTCCAATTGGTGATCTTATGATTCCGTACTTGTTTTTAAACATTATACACAGTTAAATATTAATGTCACACTGAGTATGCAAAACTATGTGGAGAAAGAACTTAAGGTTGACTAAAGGATGTTGAAAGCAGCATTCATTTGTCTTCTACAAATTCTTTATGAAGTCAGGGCTAATAGTATGCACAAAAATCCAGAAGATCTGAGGTTTTTGTTCATTGGCTGGTACCCAGGATGTCCTACCATGTGACAGACCTGGATGTTGATGTGCCCAAACCTACTTTCCTAAGGGTGGTCCACAGAACTGTCATGGAGATCCATAAAGAAAAAAGACAAGGTCATTTTTTTCCTTCATCCAAACAGCCTTGGAGAAGTTGGCAAAGGATTTGGGAGACTGGCACAGCAGCAATAATTTGGCGTAGCTTTGGGGCTTTAGATGGCTGTCACAGCAGGGTCATACCAAATTTAACCAGGCAGATTATTTTTAACCCAAGCCATTTGTTCCCATTTGACTCCATGCAGTCTGCTGTTCCTCTTGGATTT